TAATTCAATTTTAATGAACGTTTTTTTATTTTGTAGCCCTCATTTAGCTCTACAATTTAAAAAAAAGTTTATCAAAATTGGACCACTGGATGCCGAGATATTTACAAAAAACGATTTTTTGAGCCCCTGAAAAATGGGCCAATCTGCCGAAAGTGTGACTTATGACCTGTTTTGGAGATATCCGGGGTCCTAAATAAAGTATGTATTAGTTCAAACTGAATGTTATACAACAGATCAATAATTCTATAATAAACTAATTCAATAAATTAAAAGCATGAGTTAAATACAATAGGAATCTAAAAAATTAATGATTGTAAGTCAAAACATTATGCTTTAATACTCAAGAATCATAATTCATCAACCCAAAGTTGAGGATTAACCAGATACCTTGCTTTAGATTCAATGACACTGCTCAAGTTGGATGAAGTATTACAGGTACGTTTTAAGAAGACTCATTATGACTTTCTTGTAAAAAAGGTAAATATATTTGAAAATACTAAACATAAATTCACCTTAGAAGCTTAGTAAAAAACTCCTATAAACAACTGCAGTTTCATCATTACCAAAATCATTGGACTTAAAAATACAATAAAAAAGTTCATAAGAATGACAGCTTTAAAAAAAAAAATACAAATATATTCTCAACTTTCACAATGCACCCTTATTCTTTGGCCTGAAATTCTCATATGACTAAATTATTGTTATTTATAATTTGATTTATTAAATCCACCATAAATTGCCAGGCAAAGCGAACTTTTATTAGACAACCATAGTTTCATCAACAACGTTGCAATGTGTTTAGATGAATGACAACCTGTTTAATAAATTTTAAATGCGTAAACGTGGTCTTAAAATCCATTATAAAGTAGGCTACAAAAAGTGTAAAGCAACCTACCTAACCCTCAAGTAGGTCTAAGGGTTAGAAAATCAATTATACACCAAACACACACAAGTTGGTATGGAGTTAAAGTCTTATAAACTAAAAATTATTTTTGCCACTTAATTCTCCAATAATCAATATTATAAAAAAGTTACTTACGACTTAAGCCTACTTAATTATATATAAAATGACACTTTGAACAGATAGAACTCATGATAATATATGAGAATATTCCATCATACCTATTTTAAATTTTAACACTTGATTAAAGAATTTTCGTTGTGTTATCAACTGATTATATAAGTTTTACATCTATATAATATAAGCTTATACCTATATAATCAATCAAACAAGTCCGCTATTTCCTATAACACACTATACATGACAGCAAACGGTATAGAAGGCAGATTCTATTTTTCAAAAAGAAAGTTTTTTTTTTAAAAAAAAAATGTATAAAATAAATAGTCTTAAATAAAATAGTGGTTAAATTAACTTTTTAGGAATTAATAGGCCTTATAACCTTATAATATACGCGATCATTTAATCAGATAATTTACTAAATTTAGTATTACATGAACTTAATCAACCTGATAATTATTTAGTCTCTTTATAGGTGGATATTTCTTAAATTATTATCTAAACTTTTCAATTTTTTGCAGAATCAAAGATGAAAACTGGAAAAGTATTCTAATTCAGAATTTTTTTTTAAGAAATGTGTTTGTTATTTTGTAAATTACCAGTTAGAATTGGCTTAAACTTTAAAATTCTTACTTTACGCAAATGTTACATAAATGTATTCTTTTTAATCTGTATAAGAATGTCAAATATATAGAAATATTTAGGCCATATACACTAAAGAAGAAACGTCACATAATAATCATTCCATTTTTAACAAAATAATAATTACTTTTTAAACTTGAAAATGTTATATCTTAGACAAACATTTTATAGTTTTATATATCCATTTTATTTTATATTATTATCACTCAACATTATGGTATAATGTTTAGAATAATGATGTTTCATATTATCATTTACTCGTAAAATTTACTAAATTTATTCAATGTAATATCATTATAAAATGCATAATTTTATAAAAAAATTAGAGTGTTTGCTAAGATTTATAATTATATTATTATTAATAACTATGATTAAAGAATATGAAGTATCAGTATAAATAAAATAACTTATTAATAAAGAATCAACGATCTTATTTCTGCTTCTAAAAGGTATTGTTAATTCTTTGGTCATATTATCTAATTCTTTAACGGCAGACAAATTTTTTCTGTTCCATAAAACCTTAAAGGTTTCTCTTACGAAATCAACTAAGATATTGAACCCTCCATTTCTTGTTAATTCTAAAATATTAATAGCTATAAGCTGTCAGTTTAGAATCTTTTGGACAAATTCTTCATCAACATAATTTATAAGTTTCTTTTGAGATAAACTTCCGGTAGATGCTCTATAATTAAATTAATAATTAATACAAACAGCACTACTATTTGGTTAGCTACGAAACAATTAAATAAATACCTGTTTTTTCATATTTCTTTAAATTCTTCTACAGAAGTTAAAATAATTTGATTAAACTTATTTCTAAAATCTATAAAAAATTTTCAGGTTTTTTCGAGATAGCTTTTCGCTTCATTTGAATGTATTTTAATTTTGAAAATTTTTGTTATTAACTCATCAAAAACTTCACCACGTGGACTTCTCGCATGTAAAAAAAGATACTTGACACTTTTGTCCCATAGACGAATTTTATTCTAAAATATTAAAAATAAATTATTTAAAAGATTTAGATATAATAAATATTATTATGTTAATTTAATACTAACATCCGTAATTTTACTAAATGACGGATGAGATAGCAACATCATTTCTAGTGCCAATATTAAAATTTCTGGATGGTCGACGAGCTAAGAAACTATTTCTAAATTTGACTTTGATTGAAATACTTCAGGTTTTTTATGATCTTCTGTCTTACCCACATCATCATCATCATCATTATCATCACTACTTTTTTCATTTACACCATTAGAACTGTCTCATCAAGACAAATTGAATGGCGGTAAAATCATCTCTCTACAATTAATATTGGCGGAGTTATGATACAATAAAGTTTTAAGTATAATTTTGGCCAAAATTATGTTAATTTTTGGCCAGAATTATGATATACTATATAAGAAATTTTTTATATAGTCATATCTCTTTATAATCACCAATTATGAACTGTCTCAAATGTGTGACTATAAAAAGAGTTGACTGTATTATAAATCTGCTGAACTTTTGCTGATTTATTATATAACCAAAAGTTTTAATTTTGATCAGTATTAGAATTTTGATTTGTTTGTTAAACAAAACTATTTATTGAAGTAGTCTAATAATTAAAATTATTTTTTACATTAATTTTTTTATTACTATTATTATTAGAATTATCAATTTTATTTTTATTAAATCCAATATTTATATCAAAAAAAAATTATATATAAAAAAATATTCATAAATAAGGATTTTATATCTATTAGGATTTAGAACCTGTCAGAATTTTAGATTTTAGGATTTTAAGTTTTAGGATTTTAGCCTATTAGAATTTTGAGTTTTGGATTTCATATTATACTCAAAAATTTAAAATAATTTGTAAATAAATTTGTAAAAAAGCAATAATTTTAAATACATTATAATGCTTAACAGTTAGCATTATAATTATATGATAATATGATTTATGTATTTTTTATTTATTAATTTAACTGATTCTATTAGTAATATAATAATTATATTTCACTTTGCAGTATTTAATTCTGCAATATATATTTCAAATATATTCTTATAAGTTTTTCAAATTTCTTTTATTTTATAAGAATATTTGCAAAAAAAATAGTACTAATTAAAACTTTTGTCTGGTCATTTTGAGAGTTCTGAGTAATTTTAATTAGTATAATGTATTTAATTTAAACTATAATCTATGAGAAAACATATACTATAGCATTGAATACCAGTAATGTGATTTAAAACTTTAAAAATATAATTTTTATTATAAAATCAATAAATATATTTTCCATGATATTATTATATAATATTTTAGGGGTGAGGTATTTGAAAATCTTATAATATATACAGTAAGTATAATGTAAAATTATATATATATATATTACATGGATGGGTGGAATATAGACATATAATAAATGGATATTATGTAATAAATAAGCCAATTCCACCAATTCCTTAATTTTAAATTTCAACTTTTCCAAAATCAATTTTTTCAAATTCTTCAAAAACTAAATATAATAATTAATTACAATTAGAAATAAAGATTATTTATAGATTACAATAAAAAGAAAAATAAAATATAACTTACTATTAGATGGTGATGCATTTTCAAAACCTGCATATGAATTGAATTTACTTTTTTTATAAACTTGATTTCCAAAAACATCATCAAATAAATCAGGATTTTTGATCCTTACTTTTTCAGCAATTAAAAATTCACTATTATTTGAATGATAGTGCTTTTTCCATTCTAAAAATAAGTTTCTTAATTCCGAGGCTTTTGGACGTTTTTTTGAATCATCATCCCAACATCTTTTCATAAGGTCTGCGTAAGATTTTGGAATATCTTTTGAAATTTCCGGACGATAACCTTCAATTCTTTATAAGGTAATTCGCAACAGCAAATTACCCACATAATAATTCCAAAACTATAAATATCTGAAGCAGTTGTAAACTTTGAACTTCAATTCAGATGTTCGGGAGCAATAAAAGAAAAAACGCCTTTTGGAATTTCAGAAGTTTTACTAGAACTTCCACATAATCCCAGATCACTTATAGCTGGAAATTGAAATTTATCTTCATCATCCATCAAAATATTACCGCAATGAATATCCTTATGAACCATATCTTTACTATGAATTATGTCAAGAGCACCTGATAATTCTTCTAATATTTCCAAGCGTCTGTACCAAGTGAATTTTTCATCATAGACTTTATTTTCAATATAATTAAGTATATCACGATCATTTGCCCACTTCATCACCATAATATAAGAATTCGATTTTGGTCTTTTCTTAGAACAGGAACTTTCATCTTTTAGCCATTTTGTGATTTCTATATCATCCCCCGGAGATTTCGTAATTCCAAAACATCGTAGTACATGATTTTCATCATTACGTAAGAATTTTTGGTGATTTTGAACCTATTCAATATTATTATAAAATCGTAATATAAAATAGAAACGACAAATTTCGAACTTTTACCTCATTTAAAAATTGATTAAATTCTTTTTCATCTTCACCCATTTCTAGTGAAGCGTTTTCACTTTTACTAGGGATATTTTTCCAGTCGATACTCTTAATTTCTTTTAAAGCTACAGTTGTATCAGGAACATTTGTCCAATCTCGACTTACACTATGAAGTTGGTGCTTAGGACCCCTAGTCCATTTACCTTTAAATATTTTACCAAATGCACCTTCGGTAATATACTCAACATTCATGATTTCCTCATAATCAATCCATTCAAAATAGTCTAAACCATCTATTGCATTTAATTGACTTTCTCGAATCAACTGATCAATTTTTGGATATCCGCTTGTCCAATTTTTAAAATTTTGTTCAAATTTTCTGGTTTCACAAACTTTGCACCAATCTCCAACATTTAATACTCTATAACATGATAAACAACTGCCATATTTTAATCTTAATTCCATTGGTTTAATAATATGTACCTTCAGGCTTTGCAATTAATTTCTTGTCGTTCTTAATCATCTCTTGATACCTATTAGTAATTTTCTTCTTATTATCTTGAATCGATTTTTTAGGGTAAGTTTTTATTTCATTGGCTTTTTCATCGTGTATATCTTTAGTTTTTTTAATAGGATTTATTAAAGAGAATAGGCTTTTCATTGTTTCTACAATTCTTTTAAAAGAAAATTTTTTATTTGTAAATAAATTTTGATAAAAGAAGATAGATAATTTATATATTTTCCAAATAAATTCGGAAGTTAGACAAGACATGTTCTATAAAGAAATTCTTACCAACGTCAATTACACAGATAAGTCGGATTGATATATCAAAAATAATCTTTTTATACTTATATGAAAATTATGTAAGAATCTGAGTATCAAGATTTACAATAAAATAAGCTATACTTAAACTTTGATTTAAAGGTTAAACTAAAAAGAAAAAAATGTTAACCGTTAATTCCGGTAGAAATTAATTATTTTCGGTCGATATAACTGATATGGAATCAAATCCGATATAAAATATCACGATTTTACCAATAAATTCGCGATTGTTTTAAAATGATAGACTTTGTTTCAGAAGAAATAACATCAAACCCGGTTCATTGAAGGTCCAGTTTTATCGCGATTTGCCTATAATGGTCCTAAAAAAAGAAATTTTTCGCTTGTTATATAACAAGTATTGTTATCTGTTATCAACCAGAAAAAGGATATAAAAATTTGATCGGCATAATGTATATATTTAAAGTTAAAAAACAGAAATTAAGCCATCACTACTTTTTAAATAGCCGTAAAAAATTTTCATCGGGTCTATAATAGTTATGAACAAAGCACGACAAGGTACTTTTTTTGTTAACGACGTACCACATTCTGTTCCATTTTCCGTAATTGATTATAAAGATGAACAAAGAGGATATTCATTTACTACGCGCTGGAAAGATAATTATGGAATTCGTGAAGATCCAAGTGGAAATGGAGTAAATGGCATAGTATTACATTGGGACGTATGTGCATCAGCAAGAGATTGTTTTCGTGTATTATGTCAAAGAGGAGTTTCGGCACATATAATGATAGATGGGGATGGAAGCGTGTACCAAATATTAGATTTAGCAAAATTGGCATATCATGCAAAGGGTTGGAATCAAACTTCAATTGGTATAATGTTACAGAACCCCGTTGACCCACCAAATAATGATCGTAATAGAAATATTACTGAAAGTAGAGAGCCTGGAAACAATAAATTACACCCTCATTTGGATTTTACTGATGAACAAAAAGAAATGATAGTAAAAGTTTGTGATGTCTTATGTAAAATTTTTCCTAATCTACCAAAAATCTTGCCTCCTCTTAGTGATGATGATTTAATTACTACTGCTGTTTTACCAAAAAGTGAGAGGGTTGGCATTCTTGCTAATTATAATGTTCAAAGTGGCACTTTGGGTCCTGGTGATTCCTTATGGGTAGAATTTTATCGAGCTAATTTTCCAATTAGAAACTTATAATTACTATCTACTTGTAGTTTAGTAAAAAATCTACATTTAAGTAGTCAAATTAATTTATTCACTATATAATTGTTATTATATTATTTTTATTTTCGGCATGTTATATTATCATTATCATAAACTATGTCATTCTGAGTCTCGATATTTACATAAACAAGATACTCACATAGTATTAAAGTTAGAAATTACAGTATGTAAGAAACTGGTAAAAACGTGAATATCTTAACAATGCGGCTGAAATTTTATTCATAATATACTTTATTAATATTAAAAATTTAAATGAAATATGAAATATTTTTAAAATTTTGACACTAATTGAATTTCTTAACAACCAGTAGTTTAAGTCAAATTGTAATAGAATAAAAATCAATATAAATGATAACATAAATTGAATTATTTCTTGTGGTGGTATAAATCATTGGGAAAGGGTTTTTCAAAACTAACTTAAAGAAAATGTATTAATGTTTCTTTTTTTTCTTTATTTTGTAGGATGCATGTGATTTATTTAATATGGGTGAAATCATCTAGGTGATTTCACATGGAAAGCAAATTATAAACAGTCTATTATAAATAAAAAATTTATGAAACATTAATAAATATACAGAATTTAGAAAATTTTTTCAATTTAAATCAAAATGAAAAATATTTGTAAATTGAAAAATAAGGGTATTACTAAATATTACCAGTGGTGACGGTCACTAGTGCTGAATTTATGATGTAATGCAGGCCAGTATTTTATTATAGTGACCATCACTACTCATGAGTTTTAGTAATATCCGAAAAATGATATTTAAATTTTAAATAATAAAATAAAATATATAATACTTTAATATTATCTTTAAAATATAAACAGCTAAATAATACACTCATTTACTTCAGTATTGAAAAATTACTAACAGTAGAAAAATAAAAATATCTAGTATTAAAAGTATATATTGTATGAACATCTTTTTTTAAACTGTAATACTGGCCAGAAACAGTATAATATAAGCCAAAATTTTCATAATTTTAACTAGAAGTACTTATTTTCAGAGAGTATTTAAAGAATCCTAAATCATATATATAGGTTAAATAAAAATTTCAACAAATTATTTTTTAATACTACTAAGCAAACTTATTTAACATTAAAATTTTTTATACTCCTAAACAATTTATTTTGTAACTATTTTTAATATATTATAAATATTTAAAAAATAATATATAGATTAAACAAAATTTACTAAGATCAATAATTAAAAATTATAAATATAATTTTAATATTTATTAATAGTGAATTACTAGTTATATAATTTATAAATATATTTATTAGTTAATAAAAAAACATAAAAAAATTTATTTATATAATTATTAAAATATTTATTAAACATAATTTTAAACATAATTTATAATAAATAATATGTTATGAGATATATATGGCCTGGTAAATCATCAACCAAAAATGTAATTTGTAATTCAAAATATGTAAATAATTACATATTTTATAATTATTAATATCTTCATAATTAATTAAATATACTTATAAATAATTACATTTAATATAATTACTATAAATATTATTGGTAATTAATCATATAATATATAAAAATATGAAAAAAATTCTAAAATTAATAGTTTAAGTATTTTTATATAAAAATGCAAAAAAATGCTAAAACTGATAGTTTAAGTATTGTTTTTTACTTCAAATCCCTGGGGTGATTATCAGTCACCATTGGACAGAATTATCAATTTTTACCTTTTTTTTAATGCTGGTCGATCATCACATATGGGCTGATTTTTGAAAAGCTAATCAATCAACGCATCTGACACACCTTATTTGCCTATAGACTGGTCTAGACCTTTCCTTTTTTGGTATAAAGATATATGTAGATTACCGACTAAATATATGCTGCATCTGCTACTACCCTGGGTTGATTGATTGGAATTTCAAAAATTGGCTGATATGATAATTTCAGTTGTCAGTGATCATCACCTTTGGTAATAGTTAGAAAAATTCTTAAGCATTTTTATATAAAAATGCAAAAAAATGCTGAAACTAATAATTCCAGTATTTTTATATATATACAGTTTTCGAAAAAAGTAATCAGAATTGCAAAAAATGCAAAAAAAATAAAAACCAGTGATTATAGTAATAACTTCAAATTTTGAAGATTTGTTGCTAAATGTGTAAAGATTATAAATATAAAATTTCAGTCCTATATCTTATTTCTTTGTCTTACAATTGATTTTTTAATTTGAAAAAAAATATCATTAAAAATTTAAGCAGAGTGTAAATTTTATAAAGATTTGATATTGTTCTCAAACATTTAATAAGATGCATGTATATTTGTAATAAAATATTATAAACATAAAAGAATATCTTTTATTAATTTATTAAAATTTTTTTTTGCCATTTAATTAATCAGTTTTTCAGTAAATTTAGATTAAAGTTGACTCAAAAATCATTAATAAAACTCAATTTTAAAAGCATTAAACTTATTTGGATTGATATTTTTTCAAATAAATTAAATATTATTTATCTAATATTAATTAGATTTTATTATAATCCTTTATAATTATTATATTTTAAATCCAATTTTGCCTTTCAACTAATATTAAGGGTTAGGGCCAGTTGACGATCAATACGGAAAATAAACTTTGATTTCAAATTTTTCAACAGCCAACAAATGATAAAGTGTGAAATTTTTTTTATTAGAATCAACATTATGTAAGCTTTATTTTATATCATCCAATCCTTAATAAACTACTATTTGAATGCTGTACCAGAATTTTTGGGATTTTATAGTTTAAATTTTTAATGATTTTTTTTTTCTCAATTAAAAAATTGATTGAGAGACGAGGAAAAGAGATAAAGGGCTGAACTTTTATATGCATAATATTTACACATTTACCAATAAATTTGGAAATTTTAAAGCAATTTTAATCATTGGATTTTTATTTATTGCACTTTTTGTAATTCTGATTACTTTTTTCAAGAACTGTAAATATGAAAAAAATGGTAAAACTGATGGTTTTTAAAAAAAACTTGTCAGTATAAAAAAAGCATATGGCTTATGAAGGACTTTGCTTACTTATAAGATAAGTCACTCCCAGGCCTAAGGTAAAAATCATATATAAAATTCTTTGCAGATCCTACCATAAAAGGAAATTTTATGTTACATTGTTATGATTTTTTTCCTTTTTAGCTAATTAACCGATAGAATTTAAGAAAAAAGTAAGGTAAAAACTATTAGTAAAGTGCCAATTTTCTACAGTAACCTTTATTATAAATAAGTGGGGTTCTGCTTATGATTAGTCAATAATATTTATACTAATTATGTATAGTATAAATAATTATGTATTTATATAGGATCCTGAACAATACTGTATTAAAATTTTTCAAAAGTTGCATATTATAGGAATATTTTCAAATTTTTGTTATTCTACATACTCCTGTATTTAACACAACCAGTGATTCGATTTTAATAAAATTTATATCATTAGATTCGTCTCGATGAGAGGATTCTAATGATAGTAAAATCGAATTCCTAGCTTCAATATTGACAGAGTTATGTCATAAAATATATTTTTACGTCAGTATTTAAAATTTACTTGTAAGTTATATTAGTATTATTCAGGGTTCTATTTATATATTAGCCAATTATGACTAAATAATATAATTATATTATTTAGTCATAATCGGTTTAGATTAAGTTATTTAGTAATAAAATAATCTAAGTACGACTAAATAATCTAAATATAACTAAATATTCTAAATATAACTAAATAATCTAAAGTTAATAATTTAATTATAATTAAATAATTTAATTAAATAACCTACTGTATTTTATTGAAATTAAGCATCACCTTTTTGCAATAATTTTGAGTGAAAAGTTTGGGGTGATGCTTAATTTTGATACTTTTTTTAAATTCAACTGTTAATAAATTTTTTTTTTATGGCGCAGTCTGCTAAGCTGCGTATATAATCAAATTAAAGGATTTTTTCAATTAATCAATATAAATGTGAATTTTAAATTTCATATGATCTTTCTAAAAAAATAATACCAAAGATTAAACGTTAATGCACTTCATATTCTATTGAATAAAAAAACTGTTATTATTTACGCTACTCAATATGAAAGAAATATGACAGGCAGACATTTTGAAATTGACCAAACTATAATTGGATGCTGAATTAAGGCAAGCAAAACTTAAACAAGTAAAATAAACAATAAAAATATGCGGATGAATTTTGGCCAAAAGGCTTTCTATTCTGAAGTTGAAAAGAAAGCATATAACTAGGAGAGATAGCTGTAGTTATTTATATAAAAAGGGCAAGATAATAATCTTTGCTTTTTCTTTATTTGTAATTTATAGAAGATTATTTGTTCTTGTATTAGTTATTATTGTGGTTTTTTTTTAAATACCTGGTATTTTTTAAAGTAATTTGCAACAAAAATCAATAAAATTCAAGCTCAAGTTATATTGAACAAAAGTGTAACTTAGAGGTCAACTGCCCTTTCTTCCTACTGATCCCTTGTTCATTTTTTCAGCAGAAGTTATTGAAGTGCTTTTCTCATTTGTCCTTAGTGGGTTGTTTAACCAAGAAGTTCTTCATGACTGAGAACAATTCGCATAATGTCTTAAGTGACCTGAAGGTAGAAATATTACTCCTGTCGCTGGTTTTCCCAACTACTCTTTGTAAAATTCTTTGGAATTTCCTGAGTATTATTCACCAAGTTTAATGTAAGATGGCCATTTCATAAGAATATTTCCCTAAGCTTTCTGAAAGGTTGAAAAGTAGTGCATTTGGGTTCCTACACCTTTAAAGTCTAACTGGCCAAATGGCTCTCAAGTTAGACTGTTATTTTTGAAAGAAGCATTCTTAAAAGTGTTGAACTCACTAGTTGTTTAGACCTGGTTTTTAGTTAGAAAGGTTTCTAATATAAAATGATAAAGTTGAGATGTATACACATGTCAAATGACCAAAAACAGGCAAAAAAAATAGCTAGAATTGCATAAACTATTCGCAAATTTATATAAACTATTTACAAATAGTATAGGTTAATTCACAAATAGCCAAAAACAGCCAAGAATAGCCAAGAATAGCCAAGAATAGCCACTGCTTTTCGCGCTATTTTTTTTGCCGATTTTTAGCATTTCGACTTGTGATATTTAGTATTATTTTAGCAAATTTTTTATCTTAGGGTTTTTTTGCGTCATGACTTTATTTTTTTGTTTCGTTTTATTTTTCTTGTCTTTTGGAATTTTTTGTGCAATCTTGTTTTCTTTTGGAAAATAGGAGTACTAAGAATTTTGATCGACATTATAGAATTGCTGATCTTTTTCTTTTTTAATTTAGTTGATCTTTGGGTGAAGAATAGGATGACAGATTATGTGATACAGTTTTTATAGCACAAGAATTTGTTGGTCACATGTTGAACTATCATATGATATTATTCAAGGTTGATTACAGTTTAGAGAATTGTTTGAAATGAACTAGGTGTTCTCTTAGGATTGCATGACACTAAAAAGTTCTCCTATCAGTTGGATTGCATAATACTAAAAAGTTCCTGATATTCTGTGTGAAGTTGGCTTATTATCATTGGTAATATAGTTAAATAGGGAAAATTATTTTTATTATAACTTTACTCATAGAATCACCTTAACAATAGTCATACTTTTCTTAGTTGAGACCTGAAATCGAAGACTATGCATACGTACCTTTCTATATATCAAATTCTTAAGTGAAGATTTATGGGAACATCCATACTAATTATGGAATATAGAGTTTGCCAAACAAACTGTTTTTAATGACCAATCTAACAAAATTTGCTTCATTAGCTAATCAGTCTAATAGTACTAAAGATTCACCAGTTGTCCAGCCCTGGGTGGTGATTCTAGAAAAGGTTGCTTAGGGAGTAGGTCTTTTAGTACAGTTACTTTTACTAATTTTGAAATAGATTTTAGGGAAGGATCAATAGATATAATTTAGACATGATTATAACTTTGGTGTATATTGCTTTTTAGTTTAGTTTTCTCTTTTTTGTATTTTTTGGAGACTGTTTGGCTTTTATTTTAGTTATGTTTATTATAGAACTTCACATGTTTTCTTGTTTATTTTAAATTCTTGTATAAATTTAATAAAAATAAGATTACCATGTTGAGTTTGCCCAAAAGTGTGACTTATAACCTGTTTTGGAGATATCTAGGGAATATAATAAAAGTATTACAAAATTATTATAAAACTAATTCAAAAAAAAGTAGCATTTTTAGTAAAGTATATGTGGTTTGTCTCTTAAAAATAAGTTGGAAATGAAGTGACTGGATTTAAATAGACCTTTAAATGATAAATTAATTGAAACATTGGAAGAAATTGAAATAAAAAGGAATAATTTGCTTCTAGGCAAGGATATTTATAACCAGCCAACTACTAAGATAAAACCAAAAATACTTTCTCATCAGAATATTACTACAGAAGATATTGATAGGATTGTAAATAGTAAGATTCAGATGTTACAACAATTAGCATTAAATCAATCATCAGCATTTTCTTTCAGTCAAGAAAATATTACTAAGGCTAATTTACAAGTTATAGTAGCTATAGCTAAATCCTTTCAAAAGACTATTTCTTGAGCAACTAAAACTCTAGATAATAGTAAAAAATTGGCCAATAAGAGAGGAGAAGACCTTATTATTAGACGTTTTTTTGAATAATCTAATAAGAGAAAAAAATAATGTAACTCCTGGTAATGATTATAATTATGATTCTATTAATGATATTACTGATAGTATGGCTGGTATGACACTTAATAATGTTATAGTAAATGCTGTTGTTAAACATACTGTTAAGAAATCGTCTTCAGGTCACAAATGCTCTAAGTATGAAAGATCTGGACATAATTTATGAAACTGCTCTCAAGAGAAGAAAAAGAAAAGCAAGATCAGATTTCAATATTTTTTATTTCATTGGATTTGTCTTATTAAAAGAATTAAATGATAATAATTTATAACAATTAGTTTAATATTGATTAAACAAGCCAATTTTAAAAACCAAATTAGCATTCTATATATATAAAGTTTATATAACATTAAATATTTTGACTTTATTTTATTTACAGTCAAAGCTTGTTATAGTGAACTTTCCGTTCCACTATGTAATTTTTTCCCCTTTTTCACTATAATGAGATTTATTAAGAAATTTTACTATATTAAAAGAAATTAATTATAAAGAAAAAAATCAATAGGTCACTATAACACGATTTTACTTAATATTCACTATAACGAGATTCACTATAACGAGCTTTGATTGTACTACAGGTTTTAGTACTAATTAGATTTAATGGTTTGATTTTAAAAATCAAATCAGTATTCTATATATGTAAAATTTATGTAATATTAAATATTTTAACTTTATTTTAATTATTATAGATTCTAGTAATCAGATTTTAATAACCTTAAATTTGTTAGAATTATTTCATTAGAAGGAATCTAATGGTAGTAATTTTATAGTAATTGGAGTTTAATATTAACAAAATTATTGTGATTTACTGATTGGATTATATGATTTTATTGCTTATAATCACACTCATCATAGTTACCAAATATAGCTTGTCCCAAATACTGTATGTAACTATAGGAAGAGTTGACTGTATACCTGTATACCAATTTTAATAAATCATTATTTTTACCAGTAAAAAATAGTAAAACAAAATATTGTATATATAATTTAAATTAATAAAATACTGTTAAAACTATAATAATACAGTTGATGAATATATATTAGTTACTTTATACCTTATAGAATGACTGATATTTTAATAATTATAATTGATTAAGTTCCAAAAAAAATATTTAAAATTTACTTAATAATATTATTAAAAAAATAAATAATCTTAAAATATAAATTTTTGGTCATTTTATTATTTTGATTTAAAACAAAATCAATTAGAAACTGAATAAATATAAAAATTAGAAAATGTAAATTAAAAATTATAGATATAAAAAACCAAAATGGTAACTTACTATTAGATGGTAACAACTTATTTTCAAAACCTGCATATAATTGAATTAAATTAATACGAAAATTAATACAATATGTATGATAATTTATTTTTACCTTTTTTATAAACTTAAAACATCATCAAATAAATCAGGATTTTTGATCCTATTTAATCTTGCTTCTTCAGCAATTAAAAATTCACTATTATTTGAATGATAGTGCTTTTTCCATTCTAAAAATATGTTTCTTAATTCCGAGGCTTTTGGACGTTTTTTTGAATCATCATCCCAACATCTTTTCATAAGATTTGCGTAAGTTGTTGGGATATCTTTCGAAATTTTTGGACTGTTAACTACGTTCATAATTACTGCAAGTGAATCGTGCTTATATTCTTTATAAGGTAATTTACAACAGCAAATTACCCACATAATAATTCCAAAACTATAAATATCTGAAGCAGTTGTAAACTTTAAATTTCCATTCAGATGTTCGGGAGCAATAAAAGAAATTACGCCTACTGGAATTTCAGTTTGATTACACAATGCCAGACCACATATAGCTGGAAATTGAAAAATATCTTTATTATCCATCAAAACATTACCGCAATGAAGGTTCTTATGAACCATATTTTTACTATGAATTCTTTCAAGGGCATCCGATAATACTTCTAACATTTCCAAACGCTTATACCAAGTGAATTTTTCATCATGAGCTTTATTTTCAATATAATTAAGTAAATTACCATCATTTGCCCACGCCATGACCATAATATAAGAATTCGGGTTTGGTTTATAACGTGAATCCTTATCCTTTAGCCATTTTGTGATTTCTATGTCATCCCCCGGAGATTTTGTGATTCCAAAACATCGTAGCACGTGACTTTCATGATCACGCAAAAATTTTTGATGGTTTTGAACCTAGATATCGAAATTGCGTTAGTGATGAGTGTTATGAAGTTAAAGATAAACCAGAATTTACCTCTCTTAAAAATTGATCCAAATTCATTCCTTTACCCATTTCCTTCAAAGCGACAGTTACGTTAGGAACATTAATCCACTTGTTGCTTTTCGGATCCATTCGATGTTTAGGACCTTTGGTCCATATACCTTTAAATATTTTACACAATCTACCTTCGGTTATATACTCAAGACCCTCGATCTCTCTATAATCAATCCATTCGGAATAATCTAAACCATTTGTTGCGTTTAATTGACTTTCTTGAATCAATTGATCAATTTTTGGATGTTCACTCGTCCAATTTTTAAAATTTTGTTCGAATTTTTTTGCTTCACAACCTTTACACCAATCTCCAACATCTAATTCTTTACGACATGATAAACAAATGCCATACTTTAATCTTAATTCCATTGGTTTAATAATGGATGCACCTTCAGGCTTTGCAATTAATTTCTTGTCGTTCTTAATCATCTCTTCATATTTATTAGTAATTTTTTTCTTATTATCTTGAACCGATTTTTCAGAATAGGTTCCAGGCGCAAAGAGCTTCTTTAAATTTTGATTTTTTTTATCATGAGTATTTTTTGTTTCCTCAGCTTTTCCATTGGATCCCTTACATTGTGGAGAACCCGTTTCTTTATTTTTTTTAATAGATTTGAAAATTAATCTTAATAAAGAACATAAACTTTTCTTCATCTCTACAACTCGATTCTTCAAAATTATTTTTTTCTTGTTTATATAAAATTTAATTAAGCAGATTTTACTAATGATTGAATATATTTAGATAAATTCCGGAGGATGAAATACATTCGGAGTATCGAACAAAAAAGGCAATTTCATACGATAATATGATTAATTGGAAACTCCGGCGATTATTAACTTTACCATTTTTGGCTGATACTTGATTATATAACAATCTTGGCATTTTTCAAGGATTATAACTTGTGTAACGTGTATACCGTATGTTAAGTTAGAAAACAAAATTGAATATCTTATATACAATATGTCAATATCTATAAATAGGCATGAGAAATATTTCCAAGTCTGTAACATATGATTTTCAATATAGTTATGACAGAACAACAAAAACGACAAGAACAAGGTACTTTTTATTTTAACGACGTACCATATACCGTTCCATTTTCCGTAATTGATTATAAAGACGAACAAAGAGGATATTCATTTGCTGAACATTGGGAAGACAACTATGGAGTTCGTGGAGTTCCAAGTGGAAATGGAATAAACGGTATAGTATTACATTGGGACGTATGTGCATCAGTAAAACATTGTTTTCGTACATTATGCCAAAGAGGAATTTCAGGACATATATTGATAGATGGGGATGGAAGCGTGTATCAAATTTTGGATTTAGAAAAAATGGCATATCATGCAAAAGGATGGAACAATCCTTCAATTGGGATATTTTTACAGAATCCCGTTGATCAATCTAAAAATGATCGAAATAGAGAATCTACTAAGAGCAGAGAGCCTGGAAAAAATAAACTATACCCTCACTTGGATTTTACTGATGAACAAAAAGAAATGATAGTAAAAGTTTGTGATGCTTTATGTCAAATTTTTCCTAATATACCAAAAATTTTACCACCTCTTGGTGATGATGGTTTAATTACTACTGCTGTTTTACCGAAAAGTGAGAGGGTTGGCATTCTTGCTAATTATAATGTTCAAAGTGGCACTTTGGGTCCTGGTGATTCCTTATGGGTAGAATTTTATCGAGCTAAGTTTCCAATTAGAAACTTATAATTATTTTCTACTTGTAGTTTGGTCAAGAAAACTACATTTAAGTAATCTGTCTAAATAATGTTAAATTTATTTCAATGTTATATTACCTCAGAATTGTTATTATGCTTCGGCATATTACATTATTATAAACTTATGTAGTAAAGTTGAACCTACTATACTGTTATATAATTGCTTATTAAAATGGTAGTTAAAGTATTAATTCCTCGTCATTCTTAGTCATCATAAGTCTTGATATTTATCAATAAATTTCTTTATTTATTTTTTTTTTCTGTGCCAATTTTTCATTTTGTAAAGAACTCATTCTTTTTTTTTCAATAAGATTAAAAATTTTATAAAAAAACGACCTTTTTATAATTTCCTAAATTTTGATTCTTTTAAAAGATTTTTACCCGTTATAAAATAGACATTTTTTCTGATAAATGTTAGTTTGAATATATTTTGAAAAGTCAGATATGGTATTTTTGAGAACATTATACAATTAATTATTTACCTTTTGTTATCTTTAGCCATTTATTTTCCAGTATAACCAATAATGATACTTATATAAACAGATACTTACCATATAATATTATAGACCAAATTGTTCATTCTCTTTTATAATCTTTTAATCTAATATTTTTAACCTTAACTTTAAGCATTCTCAGTTAGCATTTGGAAGCTTAATATTCTCTTGTCTTAACACATTTGATTTGAATTGTGTATTTAATAATAATTTTATATAAGGTATAAAATTTTAAAAATCATATGCATATTATGATATTTTTAATACAATAGTATCACAATACATAGAAGTCTGTTGTATATTCTTCTGCTTCAACCTTAACATAAATTCAGGTTTAAAAAAGACATTAATGAAAAACATTTAAAAAGACAAGTATATAGAATTTTCAATATAAGTACTTATTTATCTACAAAAATTTTTAATTCTTAGTAAATGCTAAGGTTGCCTGCCTAAACCTCTCCAAAATTCTACGATTAGTTTCTCCAAGATTTTACTATAGTTTTATTATAGTTTTGGCAAGATTTCGGCAGTTTCAGCATTTATAATAAGTTTCGTCAGGTTTTGCTTTTCTCCAGAGTTTCGCCAACTTTTAATAAGACTTTCATATAGTTTTGGCAAAGTTTCGCTATTTTAGCATTTCGCCAACTTGCCAAAACCCCATAGTTTCTCCAGCAACCTTAGTAAATGCAAAAGAGAAGTATATTACTGGTACTTTAGTTATCTATCAAGGAATTAAATATAATCCACAAATACTAAAGAATAAGTTAAAAAGTATTATATTTTAGGTAATAACTCTTGCAAATAATTAAAATGTTTAAGATTTTTCATAATATTATATAATTCTTCTCAAAATTCTTTTAGAAATAAGTTAAATAAGTTGATAAGAATTTTCTGTAAATGTTAATTTAAATGATGAAAGTACAAATAGCAGTGCTATTAAGAAAGAGAGTATAACCCACTAACAGGATTTTTTTGATAGTAAAAAGGTTTTTTAGATTATACATGCTGCCCAAATTATTTTGGGATGCCATAATTCATTTGATTTATATGTAATTTACTATGTAAAGTGCCAAAATAATTTGGGATGCCATAATTGAATTTGGGATTTTACTTATAATTATGGCAGTCCAAAATAATTTGGGTGACATGTATATTTTAGATTATATATATACTAAATTATGTATTAATATTATTTTAAAAACTTAAATTTTTTTAGTATAAAAAATCCTATTTATTTCAACTAAAATTTCTTTTTTTTAAGCATTTAAATAACATTACATAATCCAAAAGACAATCTTATTTCTTATCAAAAATGGAAAAATGCATTATATAGGATTCTAAAAAAGGAAATAATTAAAGCGAAAGTAATAAGCTTTATAATACAGTCAGACCTTTATGTACTGATACTGTTATTTTAGGGAAAATATATTGGTATATTAAATTATTATTATATATACTGTCATTAGTAAATCATAATGCAGGTTAAAATCCAATTCTTGTCAGCATTATGTAAACTTTGAATAGCTAATATATTAAAATATCATGTAATTTTAATAGAATCTTACATTAACTTCAGCCAAATTTATAGTAGTGGTCTAAATTAATACTAGTATAATTTAAAGTATTAGTATATTTTACTATATATTAATTATAAATGAGTAAAGAAAAGTATTAGTATATATTATATCATAAAATTATATATAATATTAGTACAACTAGATTTTTTATTAATTGTAAAATGGAACATAGAAAATTTATCAGTACAGGTACATAAAATATCAGTACATAGAAATCTGACTGTACTAATAATTTTCTGAAATTTTTTAAGTCAAATCAGTAAATCTTTTATTAAAGTAATTATAGCTAAAATTCTTCATATTATAATAGCTTATATTTATATTTTTTGCCTATATAAAAAGTTTTGCAAACTATACTACAGCAAAAAGATTTTTAATGAGCCACTTAAAAAATCCTAAGAAATTTATTGTATCATTCTTTAAAAAAGAAAATTTTATATTAATTATTTAATAATTAAAAAATTATATAATATTAATAATAATTACTATTGGTAATAAATAGCAAACTTTTTTTTTATTTATTTCTTTATTAAATTTTTATTATAAATAGTATTAGTATTTTATTTAATTGAATTTATATTATTTATAAAAAGTATTAAGTTATAAAAAAGTAATTTTACTAATAAAAAATTAGTTATATTTTTTATTATAAAACTTTATATTGATTTTATAAAAACCTAATTTTTTTAACTGAAATTACAGTAAAAATATTAAAATTTATAATATTAATATGAAATAATGTATTTACCGCACCCTGCGTTACAAATTTATATATATTTTTATGTTTATCATTTGCCATTTTAGGGGGGTGCGGTGTATAAACTAAAGATCGACATAAACAATTTACAAAAAAGGAAGGATGCATTATAACGCAGGGTGCAGTAAATAAATTCACTCTATTAATATTTATACTAAAAAATACTATTTTACTTTTAAATATAAAGTTTTATAAGGACCCCACCTATTATTAAGATAGGTCACCTTATAGTCTAAGATAAGATTTACATATAAATTCTTTAAAAATCCTACTATAAAAGGAAATTTTATTTTTCTTTTTAGTTAATTAACCAATAGAATTTAAGCAAATTCTAAAGTAAAGTTTTACATGAAAGTGAAATTTCTACTGGTAGCATATCTTAATAGTAGATAAAATTCTGTTCTATAGTAAAAAACCTTTATATTTATATATATTTGTAAATTCTAATATATTATTTTTAAATATAATTATATTAAAAAATAGTATATTATTATAATATAAAATATGTTTAAAATATACAGTATTATATAATATAAATTTTATGTTTTTTATATATAGTATTTATTTATTTATAAATAAATATATTTTTGTAATTTTTAATGATAGAATCAATAGGCTAAGATGATTTAATTGCAAATAATATTTATCTATAAAGTCTATATATGATAAGTAGTTTGTAGTTTAATTATTATATTAGAGTAGTTAATTGATATTTACTTTGTAATATTTCTTTTATATATATACTTTAATAAAATTACAAATATCACTGCAAAAAAAAAATAAAAAATAAAAAAAATAAAAAAAAATTATATTATTTTTTTACAAGAGTTTTGCTAACTTGCCTTTTGGATTAAATAATCTGGATTAAATCATCCCTTTAAATTTATATACATTTTTGATATTATATCTCATTTTTGATTAAGATTATAATTTACATTTTTTTTTGAAAATTTGGGCAAAATTATATAATTATATAAAATTTACTAATAGGTTAAATAAAAAAAAGTATTTTTTATTTAAATAAATATTGTATAATATTTCAAATAAAAAAAAAAAATAAAAAAATATAAATTAAAAATATAATAAAAATGTTTTTTTTAAAACTTTTAGTTTCAATTGATATATATACAGTATATTAAAAATTAAAACCTAAATTTCAGATATTGCTAATATTATTAGACATAAATTTTAATTTTTTTTTAAAAAAAATAGTTTATATTTATGGGTAACTAATTGTAACCTTTTTATATATATATATTTTAACATAAAATACTGATTAAAATTCAAAATTATAATAAGGATATTTAATAATGGTATAAAAAATACAATATATTTGTTGAACTTAGTTTAAACTGATCAAAATTTTTCCAAAATCAATTTTTCTCAATTCTTCAGAAACTGAATATAATATAATATATAAATTAGAAAATGTAAATTAAAAATAATAGATATAAAAAAATCAAAATGTAACTTACTATTAGATGGTGACATCTTATTTTTAAGACCTGCACACGAATTGGTTGGTTGATTTTTACTTTTTTTATAAACTTGATTTCCAAAAACATCATCAAATAATTCAGGATTTTTGATCCTATTTAATCTTCCGTTTTCAGCAGTTAAAAATTCACTATGATTTGAATGATAATTCTTTATCCATTCTGAAAATTTGTTTCTTAATTCCGAAGCTTCTGGACGTCTTTTTGAATCATCCTCCCAACAACTTTTCATAAGATCTGCGTAGGATTTTGGAATATCTTTTGAAATTTCCGGACGATAACCTTTAAGTACGTTCATAATTAATGCAAGTGGATCGTGCTTATATTCTTTATAAGGTAATTCGCAACAGCAAATTACCCACATAATAATTCCAAAACTATAAATATCTGAAGCAGTTGTAAACTTTGAACTTCCATTCAGATGTTCGGGAGCAATAAAAGAAATTACGCCTACTGGAATTTCAGAAGTTTTACTAGAAACTCCACATAATCCCAGATCACTTATAGCTGGAAATTGAAATTTATCTTTATCATCCATCAAAATATTACCACAATGAAGATCCTTATGAATCAATTTTTTATCATGAATTATGCAAAGAGCACTTGATAATTCTTCTAATATTTCCAAACGTCTGTACCAAGTGAATTTTTCATCACGGGCTTTATTTTCAATATAATTAAGTAAATTACCATCATTTGCCCACTTCATCACCATAATATAAGAATTCGGGTTTGGTCTAGGACGGGAATCTTTATCCTTTAGCCATTTTGTGATTTCTATGTCATCCCCCGGAGATTTCGTAATTCCAAAGCATCGTAACACATGATTGTCATCATTATGTAAAAATTTCCGGTGATTTTGAACCTATATCAATAACATTCATATTATTTATAAAACGTAATATAAAATAGAACGACAAAATTTGAATTTTACCTCTTCTAAAAATTGATTAAATTCTTTTTTATCTTTACTCAATTCTTGTGAATCATTTTCAATTTTATTAATATTTTTCCAGTCGATACTCTTAATTTCTTTTAAAGCTACAGTTATATTAGGAATATTTTTCCAAATTTGTCCTCCACCATTAAGTTGATGTTTAGGACCTTTAGTCCATACACCTTTAAATATTTTACCAAATCCACCTTCAGTAATATATTCAATATCTATAATCTCATCATAATTAATCCATTCGAAATAATCTAAACTATCTATTGCATTTAATTGACTTTCTCGAATCAATTGATCTATTTTTGGATATCCACTTGTCCAATTTTTAAAATTTCGTTCAAATTTTTTTGTTTCACAAAATTTACACCAATCACCAACTTCTAATTCTTTATAACATAATAAACAACTACCATACATCAATCTTCTATCTAATTTTTCATTTCTAATCATCTCTTCGTACTTGCTATCTTTAACCATCTCTTCGTACTTATTAATTTTATTGCTATCTTTAATCATCTCTTCGTACTTATTAATTTTCTTGTTATCTTTAATCATCTCATCGTATTTATTAATTTTCTTGTTATCTTTAATCATCTCTTCATACTTATTAATTTTCGGGATTTTCTCTTCATTTCTCGGAATCGATTTTATAAGACAAGTTTCAGGCATAATTTTATTTTTTGGGTTCTTATCGGTTTTAATCAATTCTTCATATTTAATTTCATCACTTGTAGTAGGATAAATAATTTGACCTTCGTTTTTATTCATTTCATTAGCTTCGATAATTTCATTATCTACTTTGATAGTTTGATTACGAGTTGATTCATTATCTATATTGATAGTTTGATTACGAGTTTTTTTAGTAAAATTGGAAATTATTTTTTTTATTTTTTTTAATTTTATTTTATGAAAACGTAACATGATTCTTTTTTATGAAATTGTTTATTTTTTATTTTTTTATTTTTTATTTTTTTTTTTCAGACTATATATATATTGAAAGTAGGGAAATATAAAATTCCCACTAGATCTTGTTGATCTGGGTATACCTTGTGAAATTGACTCTTCTGTTCCCTTCTTCGAAATAGGGATTGACCGATCATCCTATTTTAAAAGAACACAAAACGACAAAACGATGAGTTGTAAATGCGAAAAGAAATTTCTAATCAATTTGTGAATTTCTCAACGCGTTTATCTGGTACATTTAAGTATAAAATTTCCCATTAAAAACCGTTATTAACTAAATACAATCACTCAGCCTACTTGCAGAAAAATTTTGGCTATTTTTGGTAAAACTTTTGATTGATAGTAACGTACGGAATACTTTAAATGAATCAAAATCTCCGATTATATTCAATTCTGCCGTAAGTTTAGCAAGAAGGTTTAAGGATGATTAACTAAATGATAGGATTTTTCACATGATTAATTATAATAATGATTCTGTTATGATAACGACAGCTCGAGATATACATATAGTACGTACATTTTATGTAATACAGTGATAACAGTCTAATCTCAATATATTAATCTCTACAGGTGGAAGCTCCGTTTCGTTACATGTGCTCCATATTGAGATTAGATTGTACAGCATTTAAAAAAAAGTTAATAGAATTATTTGTAGACCAATGATTTTGAAAAGAATATACCTTAAAAAGAATGTACGTTTAATAGAAATTTCCTGAAATTAAAATGTCATGCCACATTTACATTTACTCATATAGGTTGAATAACTTTGTTAAATGATTGGTATATTATAAATGATTGGTATATTATTAAAATAATGGAGAAGTCACTCCTACTACTGAATTATATAATTATTGAGTTATTGAGATAGATTCTTATTAATCCTAAAAAGGAACAGTTAAATTTCGGTAACATTCAATTTTAGAATTTATTTAAACTTTTGTTAAACTATTCGGGACAAATACATCAAAGACAATATTACTAATGATTATTTACTAATGAAAGGAAAAAATGTTCTTTTATTTTCTCTATTTTTCTAATTAATAACATGCAAAAATAATAATAAAAAAAAAAAAGTGGGTAGGAAAAATAAATTATTATAAAAAGAAAAAATATATACTGACTCTATACATTATTAATTATTATACAAAAGAAAAAAAAAAATATTAGGAAATAACTAGAAAACTAGAAAACTTCCAATTATTATGACATAACTAATTTACTTGCAACACATTGTTCGCTTCGTAATTTTGCAGCGTTCTTTTCAAAACTAGCTTGCCTACAGCTAGTTAAATTTTTACAAGTATGAGCTTCAGGTAATCTATGACCATTACAATAATGATGGTCACAATATTTACAATAGCCTATTGTTGACTGTTTTAAATTACATTTATCAAATTTGCAAGCCTTCTTAGCTTTACCGCCACCGCGTAAACGAAGTACCAAGTGTAATGTTGATTCTTTTTGAATATTGTAATCGGAAAGTGAACGTCCATCTTCTAACTGTTTACCAGCAAATATTAAACGTTGTTGATCCGGGGGGATTCCTTCTTTATCTTGAATTTTTTCTTTGACTTTATCGATGGTATCGCTACTTTCAACTTCTAAAGTAATGGTTTTACCAGTAAGTGTTTTAACAAAAATTTGCATGTTTAAAAAAATTTATTGGGGAAAAAAATTATTGAAAAAAAGTTTTATTGAGGAAATTTTATCGAAGAAAATTTGTCGAGGAGTGTTTTTATTGAAGAAAAATTATCGAGAAATATGTTTTTGTATGGAAAAAATAATTTTTTTTATCAAAATTTTTTTTTTTTTTTTTAAAAAATGCTTTGAGAGCAGGATGAAAATGGGGGGATATTTATATTGTAAAAAAAATTTTTATAATAATAATAAATAAATTGGTCCGCAAAATACCGAATTCTGCAAGATCTAGATTTGGTAATCAACAATTAAGGTCGATTCGGTAGAATATGCGAAATGATGACGGATAAGTTTTTATTTACGTCATTGATTTACTTTCTTCGCTGTTTTCACATTTAACACACACGCTTATCCCCCCAAAAAAAGATCGCTCTTTTATTTAACGGTTCGGCCTCAAATTATCCAAGTTTTATTATAAATTGTGGCGGAAAAAATTATTCTGTATTCTTTTTCTTTTCTTTTTTTTGTATGTAAATTAGAGTTGCGTAACAAATTCTTACTTTTAATGGTAAGTATAAAAAAAATCGGTTTTTTAATGAATGGGGCTTTTTGTTTAAAATTTAAAAATAACCCAAAATGGTTCTTTGGCAAGAATTTTTTTTTTTCTTGTTTTTTTTCGCCACAAATTCTTAGTTTTTTTTCCACTCGAAACTAAAGACCGCCAAAATTCCATTTTTTGAAATCATGTATTATGGAAACGAAAAAGGGGTACTTTTCACATTACTTTAGTATACGCCATGGTCAACTTTTTTCTATTTTTAACGATACACATTACGTGGCCAGAAAAACCGCTTACGCAAGCTCTTTCCTTTACTTTATAATGAATAATAAATAATTAATTAATGTCACACAAACACAGATGCAATATTTCATTGTATAAAAAGGGGACACGCAATCCTTTTTTTTTTTTATGTTGTCTTGCGTACAATACTCGTACAATAACATCCCTTTTTTTTTCTTACACTTTTAGACAAAGATAATTTCATACTTTGTGCATATCACATATATATACATACAATCGATTTATTATCGTTTAGTTTAATATTTTTTTTAACCGCCAATTACATTAATTGCATTATCGGTTATTGTTCTAAGAAATAATAGATAGTTTCATTATTAATGAATTTTCTTTTGTAATTGTTATTTATAAATTATCATTTGTAATTAATTCATTAATATATTGGTGGTATAATAAAGGTTAAAACATCCATTTTTTACAAAAAAAAAAAAAAAAAAAAAATTGAAAATGTTTTAGAATTTGTATAAAAAATTCACCCTTATTGAAATTTAACCTATTATCGCCTTATTTAATTATTATATTATTCAACATACAACAATACATTTCTTTAATAAATAATTAACTTTTTTTATTTTTATTTTATAATATGAATTTAAAAATAGTAAATTTGTATATTAAAACCTTAATTTCGTCATAGTATTCGAATATCTGACCAAAATATATAAAAAAATAATAATATGGAAATCAAAAAAAAAATAGAATCCTATTTTACAACTAGGGATTATCGCAAGATATTCAAAAGTTTGATCATTGAATCATTGAAATCACCTCATTTCCTCATTTAAGGTAAATATGAAAAGAAATTACGGAATCTTTGTGGACCAGTCCAAGTTCCTTTCAATAATCCATTCCAATATATTTCAGGAATAACCTAAAAGAAAATAAAAAAAATAATTCGTTATACAAAATTTAAAATTTAACTTACAAAATTAATTTACCTCTTTTGTTAACCAATACATGAAAGATCTTTCTTGACCTTGATCAATGGGGAAAGTTTCCAAAGGTAAACTAGTATAACCACTAAATTCGGCTAAAATTAACTTATCTCTTCCTACCAATAAAGGACAACTAGCATAACCATCATATTTAGCAGCGGTATGGGGATCAAATATACCCGTCATAGTATCCAATAAATTTTTTTTCAATACACCACTTTGAACAGAAATAGCCGCAGCAGTCTTTGACGTAGGAGCAGAACTACTATCACCCAATGAAAATATATTTGGGTATTTGACATGTTGTAACGTATATTTATCTACATCAACATATCCTTGTTTATTTCCTAAACCAGATTCTCCAATAAATGATGGTGGTCCCATTGGTGGTGTTACGTGTAATAAATCATAATTAAAAACTTTTTCTGTTCCCTTACAATTAAATACAGCTTCTTTTTGTTGACTACGAATTTCTTTTAATTCTGTACCTAGATTTACTTCTATTCCTCGTTCTTTTGCCACTCTTTCGAGACTTTTTGCATATTTATCTATACTAAATATTTTTCCCATGGCTGAATTATAAATTACATTACTTTTGTTTCTGACTCGATTTTTAGTAAAAGTATCTTCCGCTAAATAAGCTACTTTGATAGCCGCTCCCGGACACTACGAATTGAAAAAAAAAAATTACAAATTACACAGCTTTTTTTAAATGTAAATTCGATGTTAGTTATATTCCTTACTTTAATGGGAGTAGATGGCATAGTGAAGATAGCATTTCCACCTTTAAATTCTCGGATAAACTTCCATGTTGTTTCAACAGTATCTGTAGAATAATTACTAGTGACACCGTCTTTACCAAGTGTTTCGGGAAGTCCTCTAATTTTGTCCCAATGACATTCAAGTCCTGTTGCCACAACCAAATAATCGTATCCTATCTATATCATTTATTTTTTGGTTTTTTTTTAAATACAATGTTATTTGCTACATAATAAAATTAAAAAGTAAGGAAAAAAAAATACCTTCTGACCATCCGTTAATTCAATTAATTTATTATCGGGTTGGACTTTTGCTACTTTATTTTTAATCCAGTAAGCATCTTTCGGAATAAGTTCTTCTGTTGGTTTAGCTGAATCCGCTAATGTTTTAACCCCTGCTCCAACAAATGTCCATAGTGGTTGATACTAGAAAAAGTTCTTTATTAATTGAATCGTTATTAATATTTTTTTCTAATCGAAAAAAAACTAAGACTTACATAATGAACATCAGACGGTTCAATTATTGCTATCTCATTTTGCCCAAGAATCTTGGATAATGTAGAAGATACTGAAAAATAATTTTTATTAAAGAATTACTAATCATGGATTAATTTAATTAATTATCTAATTAAAATAAAATCTTACCTGCAAGTCCGCCAGTTCCACCTCCTGAATTAAAATTTTTTAATTAATTTATTATTATTGACTTTTCAAAGAATTAAATTTACATACCAATAACGACCAACTTATAAGTAGGTACGGTTGCATTCGTAGAAGCAAACCTTTTTAACAAATTTTTACTTCCATTGAATAAATGATTACTTTTAGCGAACATTTCTCTCGAAAAATTTTATCAAAAAAAAAAAATATCGCGTTTTTGAGTTTACATAAAAAAAAAAAAAATTTTGCCAAGATAATCGTAATCAAAGGTAACGCAATTTCCTTGAATCGCACGTTATTAGTCATGTGATCAGAAATAAAATCCCAGTAACCGGAGTAACCGGAGTAACCGGCACCAACAAATTTTCTACCTCACGTGACCTAAAAATATTCATCACCGGCATCACACCCCGCCAAGTGATAAATAACACGACGGGCCAAACACGTGATTCAGAGTGGGCCGAAATGCTATTCATCACCTCATGTCCATACTCTACTCATCACGTCGACCCGACCGCAAAAGAAAAATATAATTGTAGTGTAAAAAACTTTTTAACATTTTAAAAAAAACAAAATTTTAAAAAACTAATCCAGTAACTTTGTTCTTTAAGATGGATACTATTAAACTACCAGTCAGATTTTTGAACAGATTATCTAAATAAAAAGTTATAAGCATTTTAAATTTGAATGGTAATTTGAAAATATATAATAGGCCATTATTTTTTTAAAAAAAAATATTACTAAATCAAAATACAACGTTACAATTTTTATTGGTTGATTTCTAGTCATGCGACTGGGATTTGTCCAGAATATAGATTTCCGCACCATTTTTATCTGAGACTTAGTTTTTTGCCTCCCAAAATTATTTTTTTCACATCCCCTTAAATGTCACCGGTCGAATAGACGCGAAATCTCATGATTTTTTCGTGGATCCAATAAAAAAAATCTCATAATTAAAATTTTTAGTTGATCAAGTTGATCAGCTTTCCTTTCTTTCTCTTTCAGCATAATAAGATACTTTTCCCACTTGGACCTTGATTATCAATGACCTGGTCATTAACACAAGTTATACGCGGTTTGCAATTGGCCTGGTGGGGTACTTTGTTAGCCTTTAAAAATCGTCATTTACACAAACATACATATGTTAAAACAACTTTCATTTTAGTCATATTCAGTATAATATTATATTTACTCACCTCAACTTTATTTCTGATTCCACTTAAGCTAATTCAACTTCTCGTTTACTTATTTTCTTTTATATTTCGGTATGATCATAGTTTATATACTGAAAATTATAATGCTTGGATAACGAATTATGTATTCAATTTACCATTTCTGGGATTGATGTTTATGAGATACATATATCCACAACCATTAGACTCTTTATTTGTAGAATCACTTCATCACGTAGATTTAACATATATTAAAAAACATGAAGGGGAACAATCTTTACGACCACCATATGCACCAGCATTAGAAAGATATCCTTATGGAACAGATTATTGGAATGAGATGTTCCAATATTTAAAAAGAACATGGAATAAAATTAAAATAGCGACAATATTATACTTTCTTTCATTATTACCATTTGTTGGTATGTTTGTATATCCGGTAGCAAGTGCTTATGCTCTTGTTGATTCTCTTGGACATTTTCCTGCTATAACAATTGGCGTATTTATGTACGTTATACCTGGCACAAAAAATTTTACTATGATTTTCTTGGAAAGTTTGTATTCTTCTAGAGCTATGATGAGAGAATTACTAGAACCTTATTTTGGTAGAGTTCATTTTGACGCAAAAGTTAGAAGAAAATGGTTTAGAGAAAGAGAAGGAATTCTATTTGGTTTCTCTATTGGATTTTATCCTTTGGTTAGGTTACCATTGCTTGGAATGTTATTCTACGGTGTTGCACAGGTATGGTCTCTTAAGTGTTTTTTGTTAAAACTTGAAAACATGCTAAGTGTTTTTTTCTAAATCATAGTCAGCTACCGCTTTGATATTAGTAAAGACCACAGAACCACCACCTCCACCTGGAATGGAAGCAAATTATAAAGTAGATTATCATTATGAAGATCCGAGAATTAAAAAGAAAGAAAGTGAGAATAAGAAAGAAAGCGAGAATAAGAAAGAAAGTGAGAATAAATAAGTGTTTTTAATGCTATATTTTATTAGGATATATTTTATTAGGACAATTCAACTATAGAAAAAATGATTTTTTTTTTTGTATAACAAAAGAATTATAATATGAATTAAAAAAAACCAAAATTCAATTGATTATTTTTTCATGAGATTAGCCCACGGATCTTCTAGAAAAGATTTCTTATAATATCTACTTATATCAATATCATTAATATTCTTTTCATTTAATTTGGGTTTCTGCAATAAAAAATTAATAATAAATATATAAATGAACAAAAAAACAGAATTAATAACGCTAGAGCCTAGATGATTGATTACCTTCGGTGATGAATAATTATTCCAGCTTTTTTGTTGACCACCTTTACTGCTTGAGGGTGTTCCGTAACTACCGTTGCGACCACCGCGACCACCGCGACCACCACCTTTATCTCTTTGTTGATAACCGCCATTATTGTACATTCCTCTTTTTTGACCACGATAAGATCTATTATCATTATGATTATAATATTCTCTTCCTTTGTTATAATAATTTCCACCTCTTCGATATGATCCTTGTTGCTGTTCCCATTTTCTATCATTTAGTGAATTATTTGTTTGTACATTATCATCAATGTCCATAGAATTATGAGTAGATGGTTGCGGCTGAAATGATAAGAAATCATCGGGAAGTTGCGGTAACGAACTTACGGTATTACCAAGTGAATTCGAGTTATTGACCGGTGGGGATGGTGGAGGAGATAAGTTTTGTTCTTTGGACATTATTTAATAAAAATATTTATAACAGAATATAGTAAATTTAGCTATTGTAAAGTTGCCCAAAATTTTTTTAGTACATAAAATTAAGAAAGATGTTGAACAATATTCTACACTTTTATTACACACGTATTCGCGTAATAAATGGGTTTTTGAACGGTTGTACAAGAATGACGTTTGTATCACTGAATGTGTCGTAATTAGTCATATTACATTGCTGACTAGTATGATAAAATTAGCCAAATTAAAATTTTGTTTTTCAGGCTTTTCACTTTTTTTCTCGGATTTCTCGGAATTAGGTTCTATTACATTTCTTTTTTATTTTACAATATGTCTCGACGAGTAAATCGAGGGGGAGGGAATAGCAAAGGACCAAATCGAGGAAATTACGGAGGAAATAGTGGAAAAGGGTACGGTGGTGGCGGTCGTGATGATAGTGGACAAAAAGGATCTAACTCCTCCGTCAACAAATCTAGTAGTTATGCGAGATCTGAAACAGAATATAACTATAATCATTCCTACGATAAATCTACTCATTATGCTCGTAATGACAATCCAATTGTAAAATTATCGAGATCATTATCTAATGTTCTTCGACATAATGCAATCAAAGAAGGATTAAAAATTCGACCAGATGGATATGTCAAGGTAGATGACTTGGTAAGCAATATAAAATTTTCTTTTTATTGTAGTTCTTTATGTCTGTAGTATTTTAATCTTACTCGTTTAATCTAATTGCTATAACCATTTAATTAAATTTTTTATAGATGAGATTACCTAGATTTAGAGGAACAACATTCGAAAAAATACAACAGGTTGTAAATGAAAATGATAAACAAAGATTTCATCTTTTTGAAAGAAAATCTGAAGGTGTATCTACATGGTGGATTAGAGCTAATCAAGGGCATTCTATGGTGGTATGTATCCTTTAAAGTATGATTTTTTAACATTTTTAATTTTTTTAAATTTTTTTTTTTTAAAAAAAATTTCTTAGGGGGTGAAAGACTTGGAATTAATACAAATAACAAATCCATCAGAATTTCCTCAAGTTATACATGGAACTAATTTAGAAAGTTGGCGAAAAATAGGTAAGCATTATTTTTTTTTTTTAAAGAAAAAAAATTATTTTTAAAGATGAATTAATATTTTAAACTTAATTTAATTTAGAATCACATGGTCTTTCTAGAATGAATCGTAATCATATACATTTTGCTGTCGGAAGATATGGAGACGCAAATGTAACAAGTGGTATGAGAGCAAGTTGTGATGTATTTATATACGTTAATGTTCCTAAAGCCATGGCAGGTACTTTCTTTTGATTATTATTATTATTATTATTATTTTTATATATAATTATTTTACTAAATATCTAATTTATTTATATATAGATAATGTAAAATTTTCTAGATCTGCTAATGGAGTAATACTTACAGAAGGAATTAAAGGAATATTAGAAAAAAAATATTTTCTAAAAGTTATTGATAAATATAACAATGTTTTATACGAAGATAACGATGATAAGAATGTTAAAGGAAATAATGTTAATAATAAGAATGTTGAAGGAAATAATGTTAATAATAAGAATGTTGACGGAAATAATGCTGACGGAAATAATGTTAATAATAAGAATGTTGGCGGAAATAACGATGATATTAAAAGTACTGATGGGAATAAGAATGTCGATGGAAACAATATTAATAGTGATGCTAATAATAAAAATGTTAATGAAAATAATAATAGGAAGAGCGATAATGATAATAAGGTGACTAATAACGCTTGGAATGGCAATAATTCTAAAGCCATGAATTCTGGAGGTACGAATGTTAACAAGGGGAATACTACCGCTTGGGGTAACAATAATGATAAAATCAAGAATCTTGGAGGTACGAATGATAACAGGAACAAGATTGTCGAAAATAATAATAAGAATATTGATATCAACAGCGTGAATGTTAATAGAAATAATAGTAATGATAATAAGAGGAAGAATGATAACAAGGATGTTGTTGAAGGGAAGAGAGTATTCTCGTATGCAGATATAGCGAAACGACAATAATTTTCTTTGTTAATTTATAAATATATATTATTTTTTTTGTATTTAAAAGTATTTAGAACTGTCTAGATACTGTATTTGTATTTACACTTAATTAGCCAATAAAAATTACAAAACATAACCTCGCTAATTTCAGCTGAAATTATATTAGTTGTTAAATTTGTTGATTAGCTTTATCCGTTACAGTGATCGGAAAAGCCAAGATCATCGTCCGCAGTTCCCCTATAAAGGCTAAGCCACAAACGGAATTTTGTTTCGGAAATGTTCCTTTTTATCATCGGTCATGAATGCGAAGCGGCCGAAATTATAATTTCCTCACATTTACTATTACACCTTAGCTTCTAACACTTTAAATTTGTTAAATAAATAAACCTATATAAAACGTTTTCGAATATGCAAAAGCACAGCCAACAGCCAAGAGAAAATATGATTCCGGAAAATTATTTTACATAAAGGGATGTAATACATATATCAAACATTACATGCAGTTTTTAAAATAAGGAGAATTTATTAACAATCTTAAAATCCCTTAGGGGAAAAAATCTTTTTTGTTATATTAGTCTAAGAATTAACTTAATTTGACAAAGAAATTAATAAATATCCAGTATATTTAGCATGTTTGTACGAATTTTTTATACCCATTTACAGTAAAAGTTAAAATATTAATTATTCTGTTTCGGGAAACAGATTTAAGCTAAGCTAAGCAATAAAAAAAATTTTTTGTACATTCGGATGATCGAGCCTCAATTTGTCAAATAATATCATAATAATATAATTGAACGCGTACATCCGAGAGGGGGTTATATTTATTTAAGGATTTAAGGATCCTTTTTTTTTTTTTTTTTTAAGAAAAACAAAAAACAATTCCATTCAATCCCTTCTATTATAGAAAAAAAAATTTTTTTTGATATATTTATATTACTTTTGATTCGAATTTTAAAAAAAAAATGTCGAGACAGAGACCAACTGAAGGTGAAGGTGGGAGATATTCATATGATAATAGTAAATATGGTGATGAAGAACAACTTGTGCAATCGTATCCTCAACAAGAATATCTTCAGCAGCAGCAATATTCACAATATCAACAATATCCACAGCAACCACCTCGACAACCCTCACCTCGACAATATCCTCATCAACCATCAAGTGTTACACCTTTTCAACAATCCTTACCACCTACTCCACCTCAAAAATTTTCGAATAATAATTCATTTCTTGATGATAATGAATCATATACGGATGAAGAAGGTACAGGAAAAAGTCATGTACATAAAGATGGATGGTTATTTAGACCACCTGAAAATGGACACCTTATAACCAAAGGTGAAATAATTAGCAGAATTGTTCAATATTATGAGGTATATACAATTTTATTTTTTTTTAAATATTTTGTAAAGAGGAAAAATCAAATTTAATTAATTCTTTCTTCTGTTTCCAATCAAGATGTTCGCGGTAAATGTATTTTTATTAGGATATAATGTATTAAAAGATGCAAAATTAGGAGTGGAAGGGACTACTGAAAAAAATTTTTTAGTGGACGCATGTGGAGATAGGTTTCATATTGAGCAATTTGATTATTGTGCGGCGTCAAGATTATTTTGGGGATTAATCGGAGGAGCAATAATATATTTCATATTTACATCAATAGTAGCATTTGCACTTTCAATTGAATTAAGACGTAAAGGATATTACTCTTCATTTACGGCTTTATGGCATTCACCAGCATTTTTATTATGTTTTTTTCATCCACAAGAAAAAAGAGTTGATATTTTAAGCATACCTAATAAATTCGTAGGGTTAAGTTTATGGACTAGAAGTCATGTACATAGAATTAGTTTAGCCATTTATTGTGCCATTTGTTCCATTTTAATTCTAGTTTCTTTAAATAAAGGGTGAGTACAATTGGAAAAAGGTTAACAGTTAAGAAAAAATATTATTTCTTTTTTTAAAAAAAATTTTTTTTTTTTTTTTTTTATAGAACTGCTGAGACTGCCACAATCGAAGGTGAAGGTTTAGATAAGGGAATACATAGATGTACGTATTAATTTTACATTTTGATTTACATGTACATAATATATATCCTGATATTGTAAATATTAAAATTATCTTTTCTTTATATTTTTCAGACTATAATCCATATTTAATTCCTTATTATTTGGCATTATATATTTTTTCAAAAACGCTTGTAAATATGTTGCTTACAATTATTCAAGATAAAGATATTAGGAATAAACCAGAACGTATAGGTCGACATTATCTTGCTATCAAAGGTGAAAAGATCAACAAATGATCATGTGGAAAAAACAAAAATGAAAATGACAATATATATATTATACTGTATGTAAAAGAAGTGAAAAGGATTTTATGAAAGAAGTTTTATGAAAGAAAAAAAGAATATAATTCTTTCTATTTACTTATTTATTTATTTATTACTTATTTTAATTTGATTTTGAAAAAAAAAAGATTTGTGAAACTTTAAAATGTATATAATATTAAAAGTAGAATTAATTTAATAAATGAAGTAAAAAAGAAATTTTTTTTTCCAGAAAACTGGGACGCGAATTTGCTGATCAAGAGAATTTTCGTCATACATCCCCATTTTTTCCTAAAAGATCCCTGTTTGTTTGTTTATCCCCCTAAATGTTCAAACCAGGGGATGTTAAACAAAGACGGCCCAAACTTCCAAACTTACATTAATATGGTAAAAAAAAAAAAAATAAAAAAAAAAAGCGCAAATAAAAAGTATGTAGTCTGAAAAAAATTTTTTTTTTATGATTCGAATGATTCGATTTGTGTAATTGATTTTGTGTAATGTAGATGGGAAAATTTTCAGATCTGCAATCCCAATAAATTTGTAATCAACGATAGCGCGTTAAATTAAAAATTAATATATTGTAATTATTTGAACGCGTATAATTTCATATTTATAAAACGAAGGTTAAGAAAGTCAAGAAAATCAAGGATTAGTAATATTTATTCTTTTTTTCTTAATAACTTGATACTTTATTAGATTAAATTATTAGGTTATCAGAGTAAACTACAATCAAGCTTTGCTTTTAACATATTTTTTTTTTCTTTTTTACAGAATAAATGTAAATACAAACTTAATCCTTTAAGATAGCAGTCGAAAGAGCTACGAATGTACGAATTATATGCATTATTTTCAGAATTATTATTATTATTATTATTATTTTGCGTGAAAGAAAATTAAGTAAATAAGAAGACTTTAACGAGGGAGAGAAGGAAAATATGGATTAGTGAAGGAAAATCCTAAAAATTTGAATTTTTTGAATTATGAATAGGAGTAAAAAGGAGATATATTTGATGACGCGTATTTTGATATATTGATGGAATAATTTAAATTTTATGAAACGAGAAATAAGTGACTGAAAATAAAATATAATATTATGAAATTAGTACGAAAACAGATAAGGAAAAATAATTTATGATCTTTTTATATAACATAATAAAAAAAAAATGAAAGAATGAAAAAAAATTCTAAATAAATTAGATAAAAAATGAAAGAATGAATGTAGAATGTGAATGTAGAATGTGAATGAATTTAAAATGAATATAGAATGATTTTAGAATGATTTTAGAATGAATGTAAATGAAAAGTTTTAGAGCAATTAACTTCTGAATAATAAATAAACGAAACTAATTATCAGTTATTACTTATTATTACCCTTTGCCAACTTTGCCAAGGAACTTACTTCAAACTTCTTTCATGCTTTTACAAGTTTTCTTTCGGGACTAACTAAATATTAAGTTATTTTAATTTCATTACATAATTCACGTGGGATCGTATTTAATTGGGGACATTAAATGAGTATAAATTAATTTTAAAATAATCAATGAAATTATAAAAGGTTAAATTATCGTATCTATTCCAATTTAGTATTTTCCAATTGCGAAAGTCCATGAAATCTTAAACCTCAGAAAATTTCTCCTGACAGTTGTTTATGAGTAAAAAAAAGAAGTTTAGAATATGGCTAAAGAAGAATGAAACAGTCTGGATTCACACGGATGTCGGGACCACGGGAGAGAAAGTATGCGGACCATCCGACATTACGTTTATCCAATATTACTATTCATAAGTTATGTTGAACGAGCGCACGGCTGTCAAGTAATGCAGTGAGACGGTGAACTAGTTATACTCCGGTCGATCAAATATTATGAATCCAAAGATTTAATGAACCCGAGATAAATGAAACAATAGATGGAACAAATGGAACAAACGGAACAAAAGGGAGTTGTCGAAACGACATCCGATAACGTGTTTGTTCGATATAATTAAATATATTTATTATATATAATAATTATTATTATTAGCCATGTGTAAAAAAAAATTTTTACCGTATATTTTCTTTCTACGCGAGATATCTTATTTTTACCAATTAACGTAAGTTTAATGAAAAAAAAGGAAACTATTTTTATGTAGTGTTATAAACAGATATTTTATTTATAGAAGTTTCAATGATTATCAAATTATTCCCAAAAATCTTCAAAAAAAGTTTTGATTGTTTTCTACAGAAAAACTTAGTTGGTTTGTTTTATAGACCCCAAAATTTATAACAATGAAATTAATTATTCATTAGTTTATTCGATTTTTTTTTTTTCTCACAAATTAAATAAATATATATATTTTTTATTTTTTTGTTATATATACATAAAAGAAAAAAGTTCTTTTTAATATTTCTTTTTTTTGCTTTTTTTTTAATATTTTTTTCTTAAAAATAAATTTTCTTTTTCCTACTCTTTGTGTAAAATAAAAATGTCTGAAAAAGAAGCAACAGGAAGACCTTCTCGTGCAAGACAAACTGAAAATACTGCACCAACTGCAACTGGAAGTGGTGAGGAAGCAGCTTCTGGTGGAAAATCTAAAGTCTGTCAAAAAAAAATTTTTCTAAAAAAAAAAAAAAAAAAAAAAAAAAA